CCCCTGAAGAATAAAAATTTTTTTTTTTGCTCTTTTTTTTTTTTTCCCCCCCCCCCCCCCCCCCCTTTTTTTTTTTTAATTATCCATCTGCTGCTTCTTTGGATGCATGACTTCTTTGGCTCCTGCAGCTTGTCTTCAGAGTGCAGCCACAACAAGGATTTAACTCCCCGGCCAACTCCTTTGACATTACAGCAGCTGAACCAGGGTTCCTGTTTTATGTCTGAGACCCAGAAGACCAGCAGCCACAGCTGAAAATAGATAGCCTCCTTCCTTTGGGGAAAAAAGGTTGGGAGAAAGTGGTTTTTTTTGTCCTTTTTTTTAAAAGGAGGAACAGAGAAGCAACCAGGTAAGGAAATAAACTGTTTTACTTCCTTGTTTTTTAAAAATGGAATTCATTAACTGGAGTCAAATGTTTCCCTGTATAGTACAGCATTATAATCCACTGCATCACATGACATTTCTGAACTCATGATCCAGAGGCCCTGAAACTGGAAAGAAAAGTACACAGGCAGAACCCCTTTGAAGTAAATAGCTCTGCACAGGTGCAGGAATCCTTCTGAATAGCTCTCCTTGCACAACTGTGGTCATAGCAAGCTTTCCATGCTATTTAATGCTAGGCTAACACTGGCGGAGAAACAGATGCTTTCCTTGGGCACTAAGGCACCCTGATCTTACATTGTGATCTGTACATGCAGGAAGCCCCACTGACTTGAAAGAATCTCCATGCAAGTGCAGCAGATTGACTACCCAGATCACAATGCAGAATTGGGGCCTATATTTTCCTTTTCCCTTTATATTCCCATACCCATGAGAATGGGGATTCTGCAGAATTTTGCATGAAGACACCATTAAAGCACTGGTGAACTGGGTAAGATAAGGATATGTGAGGAGCCTTTCCTTAGATAGGTAGGGTAGCTCTACAAGGCCAAAACAGCTTAAATGGGAAGAAAGTGTGAAAAGCAAACCAGAAAGCCTGGCATAAGGAATATGTGGTTCTGTTAAAATACTCACTACTTAATATTCAAGTCCAAAGACTGCTTTGAACCCCAAAGTCATATTAGTCTGTGTTAAGTGTTTTATAAAACCGTCCATGCTTACAGGTAAGTCTCTCAAGCTGGTTGTGTGTGCACTCCACTTGCCAACAGCTACTCACTTGTAATTTTATTTCTGCACTTGTTTTCTCAACATATTCTACTCTTGCAAAGATGCATGGTAGAAATCTCTTGGCAGGTAAATAGGCTAGATGTGAGAGATCTGAGCTGATCCACTCTCAGGCAAGAGACCAGTTAGGAAAGAGGGACACTGTGTATAGATATCTATTAGTCAAATAACCTAGTTTGTACTTCTCCATCCATTGGGGAACACTTATGAGGTTAAACAACTCTGTCATTGGAAAAGAGGCTGAGAAGTTGAGGGAGCAGAGAGGTTTGCTGAAAATTCACATCAAGGCAATATAATATTTCACTCAACATAGAGCTCAGTTCAACAGATCCCTGCACCTTGGTGTAAATAGTTCTCCACTCTCTACACTTAAATGCATACAAGGCATTTTCAAACCAGGATCTAAACAGAACTGGTCAGCAATTAGGGATAAGAGTTGAACTTACTGTCTATGTTTGACTAGCTGAGTTAAGAGGACCAACAGGCTATAAAGAATTAAAATAGATTTGTTAGATTTTACATGTGACATGAAACATTAAAGGAATAACAAAGTTAAACACAACCTATGCATTTGCAAGCTTTCAGCTGCATAATACATACATGCTGAAGATGTAAAGTCACCACTCCTGTGACTATAATCCACAAGACTACTAACAGATGGATCTGTTCTCCTTTCTAGCTCTCTCCTCTCTCTCACTAGCTCAGTTCCCAGAGAACTGAGTACCACTGATGAAGATCTAGGAACTTGATTATACCTCCATGAGGAATCTAAAAACAAGAGAACTCTGTATAAATTCTACTGATAGTTTAAAAATGTCAGTATCACAAAAATATCAATACCAGTTTTACTCAAACAGCTGATTTGCTTTGGTGTATTACACTATAATTGCATTGATGCTAAAGGGGCTTCTTAAAACTTGTTTTCCCAGAACACAGTCTCAGCCCATGAGTAATTAAACTGCTCTTGCTCACAGTACAAAAAAAGTTGTTTTTGTTTTTAAATGGCAAGTGTTTTTCTAATTTTTTTTTTTTTGTTAACAGCTTCAGCATCTAAGCAGGAGATAGGTATTTCAGATTTGGTAAGAACAAATGTGCTCTTCAGTGGCTCTGTTAAACAATGGTTATACAATTTTTGAATGAAATAAAATTTAACACCACAACTTCAATTTGAGGACCAGCCAAATCCAAAAAAGCAAGGATCAAATATTCCTTAGACATTTAATGTTGCTTTATTATGAGTAGCTATTTCAGTATTTACACCAAATATTGTTCTGAAGCTGCATTACAAACATACATGCTGCAAACCATCAATACTATACAAAGGGAGCCTTCGCCTTCTCCATTTTGTTTTATGTCGCCAGTCAGGAGTTTTCAAATGAGCGTACCAGCCCATTCATCTGAAAGCAAGTCAGTATAGTAATAGTCTCAATCCTGTGGACAAAACTCCAGATGACAATGGACATTTCTACATGCAAAGGGGTTTGTAAGATCAGTAGCTGTAATCACTTATGGTTCCTGACCGCAAAAAGCAGAGATGTCAGTGATGCCATTGGTTGTACTGAATATACAATGTATTATCAAAGTGGAGGTGGGGAGGAAGGTAGTAGAATCCAATCATTTGTTAAATTGTCAGTGTTCTCAGATTTTTGAAGAGTGTTTAGCTGGATATAAGGTGGTATATACAGGTCTGTATACAAGAAGAAAGTTTTGACAGAACACTTCCATTGTGTATAACACTGGATTTTTCTTAACGTTATAAGCTTAAAACAACCCTACCCAGACCTACAATTCTAAAATACTGCGAAGGATAGCAAAACAACCCAAGTACCCCAAGCCAATTTAACTCTGCCCCATTATTCTATCCTATGTAAGGTAAGTGTGATACATCAAACCTCTGATACCTTGGTGGTTTGGCCAGGATCCCTGGTTTCTGTGGCCTTCTTAAAATCCATACTATCGCGTCTCACTTGTGGCTGAAACCACCTTAAATCACATCCATCTTTGATTAAGTTGTATAACCCTGGATGTAGGCACAAGCTAATGTTTCTATAGCTGCTGGGAACCAAAGCACTGAAGACAGCAACAGGGAATATACATGGTTTTAAAATACTTCCGTCAAGTCAGATATGGAGTCATTTTGGGAAGATGAGATAAAGGCTAAAGTGAAATCCTAGTTTATATGAAGAGTAAGAGAAGTCTTGGTACTGCAGTCTTCTCCAAGCAGAGTGAATAGAAGAGTCATTGGCATATATGTATTATGATTTGAGGGTAAGCTTATTATTGTCTGATAGGATGCTGTGTAGCATGCAATTCATAATCAGTTCTGAAGATATGCAAATTTTGAGTAGAGAGGATAGGGTAACAAGATCATACTTAAGGTTGTTTGTGGTATTTTCATAACTTTCTAATTTTTTTAAAATTTACCTTCAACTTTAATTTTAGCTGCTACACTTAAACTGAGTAAAATCCTATGCCCACCCCATGGACACATTCTAGATACATATTTACAACCTTAACTCCAGCGGTAGTTAGTTTAACCATTCTCTTAAGAATCTAAAATTGTATCTGTTCAATGTTGTCTAATATTGGCTTGAAAGCTCTGTTGTAAAGATGGCCACCTTTATCCCACGCTAAAAAAAGATGATTCTGCTTCTAGCTCCACCTCTGCCCATAGTACTTTGGCCAGCTGGGGTATTCAGGGTTGTGTGAAAGGCAGAGCTAGGATACAGGGAAGAATTTGCTCCCACATGCCCTACTGCTCTGGTGTACCTGTTAAATTTTAGTGCCAAACTGCATCAGTAAACAGCTGCAGACTTTCTTCCATAGGACTCTGACATTTGGTTATCTCAGTCATTCCATTCACCTTTAAATAGGAATGTTTTCTACTAAAATAAGTGATTTTAATACAGTGGTCTCTTCAAAACACTAAAGTTAATATTTTCCTAGAGACTGATAAAGATACCAAAATTGTGAAAACACTTTCTACTGTTTAAAGTTTATTTTGAATATCTAAGTATTTAAAGCCTCTATGAGCGGATATTTACAACTTGGTAAAAGCTTGCTGTTCAGAACTACATTTTAGATGTATTATTTAGCACTAGTAATGCATCTCTTACCTGAAACTGCATTTATGCCATTACTTCTCACAGAAGAGGTAGATGTATAGGAAAGCTTAGGTCTCTTTGAATCACTATCCCGCTGCTGGTTATGTAGTCTTGAGTATGCTCCCTGAGTTCTCTCAGATTCACCATACCAAGTAGATGAAAGGGGAGAGGAGGAGGATGTAGACTAAGTATTTAAAACAAAAAAAGTTATGAAAGTAGTTTTACTTAAGCTTTTTACCTGTAAAAGCAAGCTTTAAAATACCTACCTGTATATGGCTAGAACCAGCTTGATAAAGTCAGCAAGACAATTTACATTGTTTTTATAAGCAAATCAATCAATGTGGAAAAAGTGCACAGATACTATGAGTGCTATAGAAAACCTGCTAATTTACCTCAGAGTAAGCATATGACTTGGTTAAACAGTTAAAAGGATTTAGTAAACATAGTCCTTTAGCTGTATTTTAGGACTTATGCCAGTAGCCTTGATTAGCTCCTTCTTTTCCCCCAACCTCTCCTTCCAACCCCAGGGTTTAATCAGTTTTTTTTAAGGAACTCTCTTCCCCATTACACTATCTGTTTTGTAACACTGAAAAGCATTTCCCTCTGATATGCAGAACACTGTCACTAAGCCATGTTTGAATACATGAAGGTGTCACAGCAATGTGATTTTTTTTTATATTGTCTACATTTTTGAAAACAGTAAAGATCATAATCGCCTTCAGAGTTAATAGCTTTAACTGCTCAATTCCATCTTTTAATACTCATTTTATTAATGTTTTTAATTTGGGGAAAATATCATCTGTTTTAGCAACCTAAAGTTATAGGTTTGGGCTAACAGTTAAATCTCTTGCTTCTGAAGACTGAGAGCATGGATAAAATGTTTATTATAACTTCTTATAGTCATAACACTGAACTGCAAGTTATACGATCAGCAGTAGACCACAATTGACTGCTAGTCACTAATACAAGTTAAGAGGCAGAATTATAAAATTATTAGCACTGAGGAAATGAGGCATACATGTATAGTTTTACTAAGATTTGTGTAACCAGACCAACAAAGTAACTTCATATGTCAGCCACTTACAACTTGCCTTGATACTTCACCTTCCTGTCCTATTACTGGAGATCCTCCCTATAAATCACAATCCAAATGTATTTGAAGAGAGTTAAGGAAAAGCTTGATTTTTATATATAGGGTTTATGCAAAGCACCTACTGTTACAGCTCCCAGTCATAAAAAGTACTAGACATTTCTCCTCCGTCAATTTAAAAAAAAAACTAGCTTCCCAAACCAAGTACAAAACAGGACTCATAACCCTGTTTAGCAATCAGACTGAATCTCACACATTGCTCAATGAAGCTAACCTAAAAGCAACAATTTCAGAAGTACTGTGTGGTGCAACATTCCTTTGCATTGCAGCTCAAAAGTCACTTTAGGGGGAAAAAATTAAATTTTAAGGGGGGGGGGGGAGGGAAAGCCAGTTTGAAAAGCCTGCAGTGCCTACAAACTACAGGGGCAGGCCTTTTATAAGCAGAGGCACAGTTTGCACTTCAACTACATGCACAGTCTTTCACCATGATTTCCACTGAAGGTTGGCAGCCCCACATTTGTTTTCTCATCCACACTCTATCTTCACCTTTTAAATTGGTGTAAGAAACCTGTTTAAACTGTAAGTTCTCTCTTGGCAAAGTTTCCAAATAGCTCCCTATTTTAAGAGGCCACAGACCTTTCCATGGTTTGCCTAGTGTCCTGTCTTACTACTAACTTTTTTTTTAAACATTTGTTGACTTCAGTATTGTGCATAAAATGTCATAAATAGCAAGCTTCAATTCTGTATGGGGACCAGGCCCAGACGAAGGCAGACACTTTAGGCCCCAGTTCCTGGAGTCACATATTAAAACTTCAGCTTCCATTTTAAAAGTATGCAACCATGAGGGTCCTAGTAACTGGAAAACGTGATCAGGGTGTAATAGATGCCTGTCTGAATCAGCAAGCAGCCTAAAACAAGAGTTCCCCTTATTCATCTTAACTCTGAAAACTATTGCCTCACTCCAAGGAGGAATGGAGCCATGGGAGTACCATAGTGTTAGTTTGGCCATGTGTGGGGCCACAATATGCATTTAAGAGTCTAGTCATAACCCCCATCTTTCCCCCATTATGCATACAACTCCTATAATTTTAAAATGGAGGATTTGCAGAGCATGTCCCCTTCAAATTTATATTTAACTTGTTGTAAGGCTATATTTATGTCAGAGAGGTCACAGAATCCAAGACTTCCAGAGACCTCTGTGACACTTTTGCTTCAGCCTCTGGGGCTGTGGGACTGGAGCTGGCAGCCAGCAGGGTTCCGGCAACAGCCTCCTCAGGGTCCCCCTGTGGGTTCCTGCAACAGATGACAGCCTCACATGTGGGGATGGGGGACCCTGCAGCTCCCAGGCACCATGGTGGCAGGAGAAACCATGGAGCTGTAGCAGCAAAAGTCACAGACAGGTCACAGCTTCTGTGAATTTTTGTTTATTGCCCATGACCGGTCTGTGACTTTTACTAAAAATAACCACGACAAAATCTTAGCCTTAACTATTTGTAAACTAATCTAAAACAAATCTAATTCAAGTCATTCTTTAATTGTCTGTTAACAACTCCAGTCCTCTTCTTTCCTTCCCCCCCCCCCACCCCCCTTAACTTGATTGAGTCTACCAAACTTATTTTAAGCATCATAGCAGGGGATTCCCACTAGCAGGTTTTTTGACCTGGAAGACTTGTAAGTTAAAACCTCTGTTCCCCATATATTTTATATATTATCAAATCTCACCAATCTGCTTCTGCTTCCCAAAAATCTTCCAGACCATGGACGATCAAGTGTCCCCGAGTAGTGAGTTGGAGAGGAACTAGTAAGCTTCCAAGGAGTTTCATGAGCTTCTCCTCTTTCTCCAATTCCCCAGTCTCTACTGGAACTATGCAACAGACTGGATTCCTAAAGAACAACATGCATATTACATGTAACTTTTTAAATCAAGGTGGCCTTTTTAGTCATGCTCTGAAGACTGAGTACATATTAAGATGGTGGCACCAAGAGTCAGGAAACTTCAATATTAAAGCAGGCACTCCATCTTTAAGTGTTTTGGACTTAAGATATAGGTGATAAATCTAAGAAGAATTGCTAAGCAAAGGTTTGTGGGCTTTGTTTTGTTAGTATTTTTTGGAGGGGTGGGAGGAAGAAGGTAGAGAATTAGTTTCTCTCTTTTCTGCTGTCTCAGATTCCTGCCTGACATTAAGTTGTTAATGGATTTTTGTACTGAGAGGAGAGAAGCAATGACCCAATCCTTTTGCTGGAAGATCTGAATAGTTGTCACACATGCAGCTGTAACTCAAACTGCAGAACTCTCAGTTTAAGGAAGCTGAAGTCTCTACACCCCCTCTCCTATCATTTGAGGGTAGGAAAGAGGAACTTTTAAGTTCAGGTTTCCTGTGGTATGATACCACTATTCCAATTCTGCAGAAATAAGTTGTTTGGGGGGGGGGGGGGGAACCAAAACAAAACCATCTTTCTACACCAAAGCAGTAGCAGAGGACGAAACTACATTTGTTTGGTTCACCTTAACACCGAACAGGATGATGAATTACATTTTTGCCGTCCTCAAGAGCTAACAACAGAATAGCACACTGGTCAAAAGAGATCCTGTCCTAACAAAACAGATGAAACGAGGGAGGGCAGTTTGTCAACTAAATTGGTAATGTGGCTTATTAGCAAAGTAAACCAATGCTGTTACTCTAAGAACATTTCACGTAACGACAGGTTTCAGAGCAGCAGCCATGTTAGTCTGTATCCTACTCCTGTTCATTTCACGTAACATCTTCCTAAAATTCACTTTATTCTTAAGTGTTCTTGTTTCTTTACAGGCCACAACCATTTTCCTCCTATTCTGCTGCCTCTCTTCTCCTTACTTCTCTCTGATATGTCCCCAAAAATATATTATACAGAGGAGTAAAGGATAGTATCCTGACTCTCCATCCCCTTGCTCAGGGAGTACATTAGAGAAGTTTCACTTTGTAGGTCTGCTGCCCAACTCTAGTGCAATTATATGGAGCCCTACCAAAGAAGACCTAGAGGGCCATTTGGAAGCAAAAAATAGCAATCACCATTGGGGGGAGGGAGTTACTTTAAGAGAGAGGTGGGTTGTTTTTTTTAGTAGTTGGGCATCCATGTAGCTGACTCCCCAGACATTGTGCAACAGCACTGAAATTATAAATAGCTATTTTGGCATGCATATTGAAGACAGTTCTGTATGGGAGCTTTGCAAAACACTGCTGGCTTTTGTACACATTCTGTACAAAATGTTCTTCAAATTGCTGGAAAAGTTTAGTGTATGGCAGTAGCTGCAACTAATTTGACTTTTGTATTTCCATCCTCCCAACACATCCAAAGGCTGCAGTAGGAGTAAAATCAAATGCCATTTTTAATGACCCCTGACTTTCTATTTAAATAGAAAGACAGCCTTTTTTCCTCAAGGGAGAGACAGTATGAAAGTTAACTTCATGCTACGAGTTAAATTCCATGCCTATACTTGGAGTAAATGTCATTTTTTTAAGTTACTCCTTCTAAAAGATATCCATAATGTCTTAAATATGGGAATAAACAAGGTTCATTAGCTTTTCTTTAAGATCCACTTTGAATAATTTCAAAGGACTATGGGAAGCTTAAAATCTTTTAAATACTCCTTTTGTGATAAGCTTCTGGAATCACTGTTTCTAAAACACTTTAATTTCAAAATTAAGTTTTTAAAATCTTAAACTATTCATAACTAGGAAATTCAGAAATTATCCAACTTTAAGAAACAGCTGTGCTTTTGTTTTGTAAAACAAGTCAGTTACATGTGTTCATAACTTCTACTGAGGCATGTCACTTGCCAAGTCTTGCAATATTTTTCTTTATTCTCCAGCTAATGAAAACCTGAGAATTTCGGCTTTCATTTTAAAAGATTTCTAGTCCCGTGCTTCACACAAAATCTTGATAATATGACCCCAGTGCACCAGAATGGCTCAGAAACCAGAATCTAATGGGAAAGTTCTGGTTTTTGAAAATCTCATAATTTTAAAGCCACTTTGAAATACAACTCATGACATTTTCAGCATTGGAGGGTGGCAATACTACATTTGGAACTGAAATTGTCCATGCTTGGTCTCTGTCCAAAGGTAGACACTTTTTTTAGTATTTACAGTTTTGTAAAGGGGTATTCTGCTTTCTTTTTTGCAACTGTTTAACCACAATCTCAAGGCTAAATCTTAGAAAATGTTCTCCAAGATTGGAGTGGGTGTTTAAGGGTTCTTTAAGTCTTAGTTTATTTTTTCCTAATTTTAAGAAATCCCGTTAAAGGTTTTTTCTCTGTATAGTAGGAGAGAGACTGGAATTTTAGTGTTTTTTAAAAATCAAATTGTTGCATTACCAAAACCAGAAGTTGCAGTTTCTCTTATGTTCCCACTTAAGTTTTATGTAGTGCTGGTGTAAATGACACACTTCACTTATTTTATGGTGCTGAACAAACAGTCCTACCCTAGAGTTTCACACAAATACTATGCAGTCCAAAACAAACTGAATGGTGAGTAATTAAAGCAGGAACACTACATAAAAAGGTGGGGGGGTTTAGAATTCCTTTTTTAAACAAAGGAAGTGAGGTTTTAGTAGGCCCTAAAAAGCAGCACAAAAATCAAGTGTCTTTGTCAAAAAAAAAAGGAGCTCCCAGAAACTCCCATTTTAATTTAAAAAAATCTTATTTGTAGGAAAGGAAAGTGATGTTAATTTAAGGTTTCTGCGAGCAAGTTTTGCAAAACTTATGAAAGGTTTGTATAATGGAACCCAAACAAACTTGCGTTTATAATGCTCTTACTTTTAGAACTCTAAATCATGTAAAACTGACACTTACTGTGACGAAGTGGAGTTTTATTCATCCTATGTTGCATGAATGTCTCACTGTCCTATACTAATATTGTGTGTACCTCTGTTTCCCTGTGTGCTGCGCCAATATTTTGGTGGGGGAAAATGGGTGCAATTTTTGCTGAGGCCTTCAGGGCAGGTGAGACTGCCCAGCTGTGTATGCTATGGCCAGTGCCCTTTGTAACCTCAGACCTAGGAGGGGTGTGTGACCAGGTGATACCTTTTGCCCTGAAGCAGGACAAAGAGGAGGAGGAGCAATGGGGGTGTTGGAGGTCAGATCACTGGTAGCTTGGTAGTCTGCGTGGGAGGGTTGGGGGTAGAGGAGTCTAGGCCGTCTGGCCCAGGACTCAGTGACTTTCAGCCAAGTCCATGGTATCTTGATAGCAAGCGCTGTTCTATGCTGTGTTCCTGTCAACTAATAAACCCTTCTGTTCCACATGCTGGCTGACTGCAGGAGTTGGGGTGCAGGGCCCTCTGGCTTCCCCAGGAGCCCTGCCTGGGCGGACTTGCTGCAGGAAGCACACAGGGAGGAAGGGGATGCTGAATGCTCCAAGGTCAGACCCAGGAAGTTTTTTTTCCCCCGGTGACAATATGCTCCGAGAGGAGGCATGCTACACTAGACTCCTGACTGGCTTTGTATGGAGTAGTTCTAGTGCACTGGCCTGGTGACTCCGTGACACTTACACTACACAGAGAGCATTTACTACTGTCAAATTATTTCTATTCTTCCTCAGACAGTTGGAAGATACAAGTGCATCTTTGTTTGGCTTGACTTTTAGCCTGTTAACCATGTCATGCCTATAGGCCGTTAACATACAATTTAGTTCCAAGTGTAAAATCCATTTGAAATTTTGGGAAAACTACGGTACCTAGATGGATGCTCTTAAGTTATTGGCTTCTCCCATTAAAATTTACGCTGTACCAACTTTTTCATTTCTGATTTGTTCTGCCTCGGAAAGTTAGTTTTCCTATTATGAAGTAAGCTTTTCAATTATGAATGCTCTTTGGTTTTGAGAAGATTTTGTATGTGGGTGTAATTTTCTTACATTCTATTCCAAGATCATTACCTGGTATCCAATTGTTAAATAAAAAAAAAGACACTGCACCCCATTTTAAAGGTAAATATTATGCAGCTGCAGCAGCTCTTAGTGATATTTTGTTTGAGTCAAGTTTCAGACTCAATCTTGAAGTGACAAAAACCTGTCTGTTCTGTTCCTATTTGGCCATATTTATTACTACTTATTTAGGATGATCTTACTCAGTTTACCTGGTCACATGAAATCTGTAGCTGTAGCAACACTGGAATCTGCTCCTAAAATTCCTTAGACAGTTGAGGTCACAAGAGAAGAGACAAATTGTTCTCCGAGATAGTTTGGCTCTATATCTAAGTACCAACACATTAAGTCTGCAGTAAGTTTCCTTGACAGTGCGAAATTCATACAATGTAGACTTTGCCCCTGGATTCCAGACCTTAGAGTGTTATGATGAGATCAAGAATGGTATTTAACCAGGGAAAGGGCAAAAACTGAATAGGTCATTGCTAAAATTGTTTAATTTGTTTAGAAATAACCTGTCAAAACATATTAAACTTAACATTTTTACAGTACCATATGAATACTGATAAAATGATTCTACATGTAGAGACTTATGCATCATCCCTATTTTAAGGGGAAGTGAGACAAGTGATTGATCCACGGCTATGTAATGAATCAGTGGTGTACAGCTAGCAGCAGAGTTCAGGAGTTCTAGCCTTACTATCAGTGAACATGTTGAAAATGTTCTAACCTATGCCTAAGCCGTCCTCTGCATCCAATATGCCTGGGAAGTTATGTATACAAGACACAGGAATGTAGGCAAGATACATGGCTATATACCTACTGAGCTATACATGATAACTTGAATGATCTAGTACTCAGAAAACTAAATCCAAGAAATGGCTTATGTAACACAATGCTCCTGGACGGACAGTCAGCAGGGACTGAACGTTTGGATTCTGGAGCCTGAGCCTATGTTAAAAGGCCTGCTTTCTTAGTTTCAATGTTGGAGCAGACTCAGACTTATGTGACCCAGTTACACAAGGAGCAAAGAGCCAAGTGTTGTTGCTTAGGGGTTCAGATCCCAAGTGACCAGGGCAAACTGAACCAGCTAGCCTTGAATAAACATCTGTTCTCTTGTTTACACCTAAAAAAGTTTAACATGTTAAGGAATTTAATCTCCACCAACTGTGCTACTTTTAACACCATAAATCATGGCCTGCAGGATTTAATTTCTGTTTAATTAAGCATTGCTGCCTCCCCCAAGCAATTTGCTTTAAGTTGTGTTTAAAAAAAAAAATTCCAATGCTAACCCTCTACCTGTGATATTTAATACTAATTAGATGTGTTCCTATATAAGCCTATATAGTTTTAGCAATATGCGTCAGTCACAAATAAGCTACTGCAAATTTGGAAAGAATGTAAAGCCACGAATCCTTCCAGCTCCTTCTTGTATATGTCATCTTTCAGAGCAAAAGAGACTAACTAAAAGTAGCTTCAGAGAGCTTCTATTTATAGAGTCTTAATGCTGCAAAATTACCAAAAAGGTAAGATGAAGCATAACAAACCACACTTTCATCTCCTTCTATGGTTTTCACTGTGTAAGACAATGCCTCCATTTCAATTTAAACCAAAACCTCTTAAGAGCAGTGGTAGGACAGATATATTGCACTACAAACTCTAAGCTTTGGGGACAGTTTAATAGAGATGTGTAGAGGAGGGCTGTAACTTCTGTGGACACTTAAAGGAAAGGTCAGAATTGTCTGAAATGAGTACTTTGAAGACTTCAGGGTGAGGTGGATGCGGAGAGGAAGGTAGAAAACTAAATTTAAAAAAAGTCTACATGTTCTTTTTATGGACTGCTCCTGTGGTAAAGGAGGTCTATTTCTTAATCACGTGTTCATAGCCTAGCACAACAAAGACCCAAGCCTTAGGGATTCCAAATGCGACAGTATAAATCTAAAAAATACCTACTGAGTTGTTTGGTGTGTGCGTATTGCAACCCCGACTACCAAACACACACAAGAGGGAAAAAAAAAAGTTAAACCAGTCAACAGAACTACTGTTTCACCCAGAGGCGCACATCTTACCATTACCACAACTAATATATGCCACTGAACACCTACCAAAATCCTAATTCTGCTTACTTTTAAACTTTCTGCACAAGCCCTTTTACCCAATTATTCCTCCCCATCAACAGCAGTTGTGGATGTTTGATGGTGTAGTTGGCTGTGTTTGGAGAGAGGAGTTTGGTAAAGGGTTGTGTGTAGAAGGAGGGGATGATAGGCTGGCATCCCTAGGTAGGGAAGCAGAGCTAGTGTGTCATATATGGTAGTTTTGGTAATGGTTAGGTGTGTGCTTGAGTGGAGTAGAGGGTATGTACTGTTAGGTGGCTTAACTTTTAACTTCCTTGCTTTTGTGGGTTTGTGTCAAATATTCTGTATGTGCAGTAACCCTATCTATTTCACAAATTTTGTATATTAATGTCCCAGGTTTTTAGTGCTTAATTTAGGAGGGGAAGTGGACCTGCTTCTCTGGAAGCAGTGGGAGTGGCAAGTGTTCATCGCTGCACACTTTATCAGCACAGCAACTTTTTCCCCTTCTGTACTTGCAGGGGGGGGGGGGGAAATCAAAGTGTAGCTGCTAGTTGAGAAGGTTTTATGTGCATCAGGTTCTTTCAGCAACCCCATCAATCAACATTGTGTGTACAGCACAAGTTCAGTTATAACATGAATGGCTAAATCAAATGACCCTAAATCAGAGGGTTGTTTTTTTTTAAGAATATAAACTTATCCTTTGCATCAGATCCACCTGTCTCTCTACATAAAGTTTTTGGTAATGTTTGAGTTAATGAAAAGTGGGACTTTAAGGAAAAGCATTCAGAGCCCCAATTCAGAAATAACCTATTTAAAAATGTATGAAGAGGAACTACACAAAAAATTAAGAGAGCATCAAAAGCAATCCCGTGTAAAATTTCACACCATTTAGCCATCTGGTTTTAGAAAACAGGGATGTACGCCTCATTTATCAGATGGATAAATAATAGACGTATACTTTCATAGTCAGTCACAGCTACCATTCTCTTTACCAACTGAAGGAAGGTTACATCAGCTGTATACCTCCACATTTCCTTTTCTAGAAAAGGATAGCGCTGATGTGTTCCCCATTTGAGTTAATCACTGAAACAACTATTAAACAAGACAATGACTATTAAACAGAAGTAAAGCCAAGCAAGTGTCGTAAAAAAATTTGCTGATAAGAGGGAAAGGACTACTCCTATGCAAGCCAGGTCATATTCCCAAAAATGCACTTCCACAGAAAGCTGGTCCATGATTACCAGACGAGCCAAGGCAGTGTGGTCCAATATACAGGCCATCAGGTTGGGAGTTAAGACTTGGGATTTATTCCCTGTTCTGCCATACCTGATGTTACACACCAAGCAAGTCAGTTTCCACATCTAAAAAGTGTTTCCCCACCTCTGTAATTCACTTTGTGTGAATGAGTTATGAGTACTAAGTATTCACACACATCTTGGTACAGTAACTCCTCATTTAACATGGTCCCACTTAACGTTGGTTCAATGCTACATCCCTGCTCAAATAGGGAACACACTTGCTTGTTTAAAGTTGTGCAATGCTCCCTTATAATGTCATTTGGCTGCCTGCCTGTAAGATTCTGTGGAAGAGCAGCGATTTTACAAGGGAGCATTGCACAAGTTCCACTTCGCTGCCTCCTCTCCCTCCCTCCCAGAGCTTCCCCCAGCCCCAATTTGGCAGCGCTTAGGACTTTCTGGGAGGGAGGGGCAGGAGCAGGGAAGCACTGTGTCTCCACTCCTCCTCCCTCCCAGAAAATCCTAAGCGCTGCTAAACAGCTGTTTGGCGGCACTTAGGACTTTCTGGGAGGGAGGGAGGGAGGGAGGGAGGAAGGGGAAGGAGAGAAGATGTGGGGCTTCCCCGCTCCTGCCCCTCCCTCCCAGAAAGTCCTAAGCGTGAAGTGCTGGGAGGGAGGGGCAGGAGCGAGGAAGCCCCACATCTCCACTCCTCCCTCTCCTTCCCAGAAAATCCTAAGCACCGCTGAACAGCTGTTTGGTGGTGCTTAGGACGTTGTGGGGGAGGGACGTGGTGTGCTCTGGAGAGGAAGTGGAGTGGGGATGGGAAGAGGTGGGCCTGGAGCGGAGCAGGGACAAGAAGAGGCGAGCTTGGAGCATTTCTGGCAAAATCAGAGCCTGTTCTCTGGGGAAGCTGCTGCTCCTGCAAAGGTCCTTGCCTGCAGCAGGCTGTACCTGTGTGGGGTGAGCCAGGGGCACTTCCCAACCACAATACTGTACTGTATAGTAGTATACAGTATAGTGCCTTTTGTCTGCCCCAAAAACACTTCCTTGGAACCTAACCCCCTGCATTTACATTAAATCTTATGGGACAATTGGATTCATTTAACACTGTTTCACTTACAGTTGCATTTTTCAGGAACATAACTATGTTAAGTGAGGAGTTACTGTACATATTTACACTTGCAAGACTTCTTTTCTAAAAGGAATTTAGAGAATCTCTTTTCTGTATAGCATAGGAGGAGTTTTATTAAAATCAAAGTGTCAAATCATTAACTGAAGTGTAACACGAAAGAACTCACTGGCCAATATCTTGCATCTAAGACTTCCCCCAAATCTACTTATATACAGGTTAATCCTTAGTGTTTTCTAGTTTACTAAACAGTCTTGTTCAGGACAATGGTGCTCTACCTTATTACACAGGGGGGACACAAACCTAAGCACAATTGTGTTGGGCCAAACACATTCTACATATTTTAATACGACTTAGTCACCTGTATTGATTTATATTTTAAGTTCAGCTTGTTTCATATGTATTTAGATAAAAATAACTTATGTACAGTATTGTCTGTTTACACACTTGTGTAAACTAAAATGAGGTAAACATGACAAGGCTAATGAATCAGCTGTTAGTACACCTCTACCTCGATATAACTCTGTCCTCAGGAGCCAAAAAATCTTACGGCGTTATATGTGAAACCGCGTTATATTGAACTTGCTTTGATCCACTGGAGTGTGCAGCCCTGCCTCCCCAGAGCACTGCTTTACTGCGTTTTATATCCGAATTTGTGTTATATCAGGTCACATTATATGGAGGTAGTGGTGTATATTGTGTTGAAGCACCCCATTCCAGACACAACTCAGCCTTCACAGAGAATGTTCTAGTTAGCACCCCTTATGCTTTTATCTCTAGTTCTGCTAGCATGCTGGCAGAATGACTTGAAGCCTGAAAGCCTTCTCACTCCTTTATATCCTTATTGGTGCCATACAACTTTCAGACAAAAAGAACAGGAGTACTTGTGGCACCTTAGAGACTAACAAATTAACGAACTCCTGTTCTTTTTGCGGATACAGACTAACACGGCTGCTACTCTGAAACTTTCAGACAGAACAAACAGTTAAGCTATACCTGATCTGTTGTATTTATTAATTATGCTGTCATTTTTAGAGTTGAGACCTTTTACACCATTATCTAAAACTAAAATGCTGTGCTCTGGCAATACTGAAACTTACGGTCTCCACTTCCCTGTCAGGCCAGAAGATCCCGATTTTACTTAAACAGACTTCCCTCCAAGATCCTATACTATAATCACCATCCCGATATGCATAACCCTGTGTCTAGGACTCATTTAATGATGTTCCTTATTCAGGCACTGATTTAAAATGCTACATACCAACAGTAGTGGGGAAAGATGGTAAAACGAAGTGACTCTACGCCATTTCATGGCAGTGCAAAGCACTACCACTAGCAAGGCCAAATCTTTGCATTTATCTTGTTTGTGCGAGGAAAACATGTTGAAATTCCTCCTTATATTGCCCTTGAAATTGATCTTAAGAATCCTGCTCAAGTGGCAGATATAGAAGGTGTTACTTCTAAAAGCAAATATAAAATGCCTTACCTGACATCCAGAATCCAGTCTCAGTGAAGATTCTCTTGTATGATATGCATCAGTTAAACTGCTTCCTCTGCTTCCAGACAATGTTCTAGCACTTAAAGAGGAGGAACTGGAGGGTTGAACTGATATCCTTCGAGGAATCCTTGAAGGTTTAGACTCCATTCTGAGTGTTCTACATGAGACAAAAGTTATTTTCCCCTCCCACCTTTTTTTTCCCCCTAGTATAGAATGCAACAGATAAGTATGTTAAGTTTGTCATCAATACTTATTGCGCACATGCTTTATATAGTGATTTTTAAAGCACAGGCCTGGGAACCAGGCGACCTATCTTAATTCTAGAATTGCCATTAACTTGCTATATGACCATAAGGTAAACTGCATCATGTTTTACCTTGGCTTTCCTATTGTAAAATAAGGATAATACTTCACTACCACCTGTTTTATAACTCATTTCGTGCTTTGGTAAGAGATGCCAAATAAGTGTAAAGCATTAGTTACCTACTAATACATACAATCTCCCTCAAACAAAATTAAGTGATTTGTTTTTCTCTGCTAGGTCTTGGCTAAACTAAAGTAAACTTTTGGCTTTTTACATTTTTCCACCAAATCTACCCTGGTTTAACATTTCCCCACTTCTTAAAGGTCTTCCCCCTCCCTCAGTCCATCTACCCACACACTTTCCTTTGGCAGGAAGGCAAATAGGCTTGTGTTTGGTGTTTGTTTAAAAAAAAAAAACACACTTCCTTCCTCTATACTTTGCTGTGTCACAGACCCATGCATTACACCTACAGCATCAACACTTCTACTTCAGTTGGCTAGACACCTGACTGAAGAGAGTCTAGCCAAGAGATTAAAGGTACTATCTGTGTTCCATCCCACTCCCTGCAGGTCCAGAAAGTGGGTTGAGAAACTCTCAAAGTAATTTACATTGCTACTGCACTGCTGCAGCTCTCTTTCAGTTCTTCTCTTCCTACCTCTATTGTGGATGGTATCCTTGTAGTGCTTTCTAAGCAGCAGCATGAAAGTGGCATGAGCATTGTCTTTGTCCTTTGTCAAGAACACAAACATGCTACTTAGGTGTGCACAGAAAGAGGACAATAAAGGGGCCTCCTTCTGTACTACCACCTGCACTCACATCAGGGTTAAATTAAGGCAATCTGTGCCTAAGGTACTAATCCACAAGAGGACCCACTATCACCCCTCTCCCAAACAATGACCCTGCCATAATACCACCCTCCTTAAGGTAGCCGCATGCTTCTGAATTCAGATGACTGGGCAGTTCACACCTCTTAGCTATTGCTTCATGCCCTTTGCAGCTTCAGACAGACATTGGGCACAGGCCTGGTCTACACTAAATTTACATCAACATAGCTACAGCATTCAGGGGTATGAAAAAGCTGCACCCCTAAGAAATGCAGCTATACCAATAAAACCCCTGGCATAGATGCAGTTAGGTCAATGGAAGAATGCTTCCATTGAGCTAGCTACCTTCACTCGGGAAGGTACCTTTTGGCTACACTACAGACTTTACAGCAGCACTGCTGTAAGGTCTTCCATGTAGCTGCTCTATGCCAGCGAGTGAGAGCTCTCCTGCCAGAATAATTAAGCCACCCCTAACAAACAGCGGTAGCTATGTCGCAGAAGTGTCTCCTGCCAACATAACACTGTCCACAACCAAGCTTTTGTCTGTTAAACTTTTGTCAATCAGGAGTGGGGCTTTCACACCCCTGACGGACAAAAGTTCTAACGTAGATGAAGCCATAGTGTTCCTAAAGGGATGGAAAAAGCTCTTCTACTGCCATAGGCTGTATCTACACTACAGGATTATCCTGGCATAACTATGCTGCTATAGTACCCATAGGGTAGACATGGCTTCAGTTCATATTTTAAAGCTTTTCCTGGCATTCATGACTTGAAACTTATTCTGATTTGATAACATTTTACATCCACCAAGGGAAGAAGTTACAGTATAGTTTGCAGGATTTCCATGTATTTGTCACAATAAAAGTTTCACAAAAATCTTTGTCAGAATCAGTGGCTCCCTAGAGTGTTCTAGATCAGGGATAGGGAACCTATGGCATGTGTGCCAATTTTCAGTGGCATTCACACTGCCCAGGTCCTGGCCACAGGTCTGGGGGGGCTCTGCATTTAATTTAATTTTAAAAGAAGATTTTTAAACATTTTAAAAACCTTATTTACTTTACATACAATAGTTTAGTATATATTATAGACTTATAGAAAGAGACCACCTAAAAACATTAAAATGTATTACCGGCATGCGAAACGTTAAATTAGAGTGAATAAATGAAGACTCGGCACACCACTTCTGAAAGGTTGCTGACCCTGTGCTAGATATTTTGAATGGTAACTTAAGACACTTAGAAAACATTAAACTCCTACATGGAATCATTTCATTTTCCAGTTCTAGCACTTCAGGGCTTGTCTACACATAGATGCAGGAATAAGGGTGTTAATTTTCATAGAATATCAGGGTTGGAAGGGACCTCAGGAGGTCATCTAGTCCAACCCACTGCTCAAAGCAGGACCAATCCCCAGATAGATTTTTGCCCCAAATCCCTAAATGGCCCCCTCAAGGATTGAACTCACAGCCGTAGGTTTAGCAGGCCAATGCTCAAACCACTGAGCTATCCCAATTTAAAACAGAATAGCTATTCTAGACTGTCTTCACATGGAGTTATTCCAGAATAAGTACTGTTTCAAATGGTACTATGTTAAAGCACACTGGGGAACTGTTAGTACATACCAGCAGGGTTTATGTGGACCAGTTAAGTGTGTGACATATTGATGCACTTTAGAAATCACATCCCGTAGTGTGCATCACCCCATTGTGTAGATATGCTTTTATTTCAGTCATTTTTAATTTTTTCTATATAGCTTTTCCCAAATACCTCATGTGTAGATTAGCCCTTGACAGTACAATTTAACTATCTTAAAGGTAAACACATGACTTAAAAGGATTGTTTTAAACCCAACAAAAATTAGTAGCGTTAGTACCAGGAATTTGAGCACAATGTTACATAGGGGGGACCCACCGCAAAATTGTGTCCCAGGGGACTTAATCTAAGTGATAAATGGAACTTTAGATATTCAAATTACCACTGCATTACAATGTTACATAATTGTGTTCCACAAACTGTGGGGGGGGGAAAACATACTGGTTGTCTTACCAGTGCTAAAATATATTCATTTGACAGCTTTGTGTATAATTACTGGGTTTGACCATACTTAGCTTAAATAGGCTTCCTTGATTGACAACATTCCTCTATTCCCCGACACACTCACTAAAGCATTTTACTAGCTACAGCAATACCTGCAAATTACACAAGTACACAGCATTGTCGGTTTACTTGACAAATTACATTGAAAAGGAAACCTCAACTGCCAACCACTTTGGATTTTTACTCTGAGGGGCACTGGGATCTTACCCAACTCCGATCTCAACTGTGGCAGAAATATGAGTGAACATGGATTCAGTATGGATTCAAAGTAGCATATTTTTGCAGGTTCTAAAATCCATTTAGACACTTAAGGATTAGACAGTTACACTGAAAACATTCAAAGTAGATTTGTGGTACTGAAAAGAGTTTCTATAACTAAAATTTTACAAGTGTGGTTTTTTTAAGTGTTCAGCCAATTAATAATTTGGTAGACTATATGTTAAAAGCTAGCAATTGGCTATGCACCAAAATTTAAGTTTTAGCACTCCAGAACTTTGTTTTAGGAGCCCATAGACTGGGCTCTGAGGAAGTGCTTAGCACTTAATCCCCAGGAAGACTGACTGTTGCCCAAATGAGTTCAAAGTCCACCCCAGACAAAAAGGCATGGAGCATTTGATACTTTTGTCACTTTTGTCACTACAAGTAAACTCCTAGGCCAAACCACAACCATTGGGGTGAGCCTCATAAGATGCACAGAAGTAGAGACAGTGTTCAGCCAGTTCTGCAGAAGAGCTGCTGCAGATTTTACTGGGAGGGACGTACTCGGCACAATCCAAAAAAAATCACTGCATATTAAAAGGAATGAGAAACTAGATGAATAGTGCAAGAATCTACTACTGAATTGACAGAGTGGTGTGTCTTTATGATGTCCAGTTCTGAAAAATATGGGGTACATCCCTAATTGAATGGACATGAAAAGATTTTCATGGATAACTGTTTTCCTTACTATAATAAGGGTTACTTCTAATACTGAAGGTACTTTAAGATCTCTTACCACTTTCTTATGACAGTCCTAAGTTTGATGAGAGGGGCTGAAGCTTCTCTAAATCCCATTGCCTCCTAAATGCTTAGGTGTAGCAAAAGGGTAAAAGATGGCGTTGTTTCTCCAACTACAGTACTGGCAAGCCAGGAAGCCACTGTCTTACCCTTCTCACAATCCATCAGTGCCTCTAGGTACAGTAAAAAAGGAGAACCAGGCTTAAGAGTCTACCAGTTCACCACAGAGAAGAGATTGAGATGATAGGGGCTAGCATTGACTTGGAGCCTCTCCAGAGTCATCAGCTCCAGGAAGGGAAGGAGAAAACGAACACTTCAGCTTGGTGTTTCAAGAACAATCTTTCTGCCCCACCATAGGGAGAAGTGGGGGTTGGGGGCCAAGAAAAGAAGCAATGCTTATGGGTCCTGCAATTTTAGCTTGGAGGCATGTGATGAGGGGACCACCTCAGATCTTAAGTAATAGAAAATTCAAGTAATTTTTCTGGAACTTGACAGCTAGGAATAAAAACTCCTGATCCAAGTATACCCTAAAGATTTAAAAACCAAAGACAAAGAAATTTCTAAAGCTACTGGGATTTTGGGAGGACCTTACTAATAACTTTTGAACACTTGGACTTTAGATCAGGAGCTATTTTTAATCAGAAGAGAATCGGGCTGAGGGGGGAGACAATGCATTTACCGGTCTCTTACAGCTGCTAGAGGCCAATTCAACCATTCTGCAGATAGGGAAAGCTTGAGTGATCATCTTAACTTACACCAGTTCTGAAAGGGCCTCAGTGGGCCATTGCAGCACTACACAATAGAAGTGTGGATATGCCCCTTCTGTCATCCCAGAATACTTCATGTGGAAGGGGTGCATAGAGCTAGCATCCCTACAGCTCTGCCTGTTAGGAAGGCCTCTGCCTCAGGAGTTGGGGGAGTGGGAGAGACTGGTAACAAGAAGTGTCTCTTATGGATGGTTTATGTTCCCTTTCCTCTGGCACATAGGATCATAGACTATCAGGATTGGAAGGGACCTCAGGAGGTCATGTAGTCCAACCCCCTGCTCAAAGCAGGACTAATCCCCAGACAGATTTTTGCCCCATATCCCTAAATAGCCCCCTCAAGGACTGAACTCTCAACCCTGCGTTTAGTAAGCCAATGCTCAAACCACTGAGCTATCCCTCCCCTCCGCATGACCATTCCTAAAGTTCCCTCCAGTGTCTAGTTCTGGCATGGTGGGACCCACAACAAGGCAATGATCAATTACCCTTCAATAGCCATTCCCACCTCCCCAAGTCTCCTGTCTTAGGGGTGGTAATGGGTAGGAGAAGGAATAAGTGAGACTTCTACATAGATATACGATTAATTCTGAGCCCTCCCAGACTACTCAGTCCATCGGGGTCAAGTTTCTTTCCCAGACTCCCTCAGGAAGATGGTTTCAGGAAGATGGGGCTACTCCCCCAGCCTGGCAGGAGAGGGAACAGGGCAACTCCCTGGCCCAGCGGAGGGAAAGGGGAGGGGTCATGCCGGGAGCAGGGAGGGAGTCTGCGCTGCTCAGCAGGCCCGACCAGGGGCTGGGCTGGTGTTGGGGGCACAGGCTGAGGCTGGCCCCAGGACGAAGCGGTTCGGAGGGTGGCACGGGCAGGGCTGATCCATACCTGGTGAGCTGGGGACAGAGGGTGTTGGAGTCAAAGCAGGTGGCGGCGGGGGCTGGTTGTTCGTGCCGCACCTGGCAGGGTGGGCGGGACAGCGGGGGACGGAGAGGCTGAGTCTCTCCGGGTCAGGTAGAGACCCGGCTGCTCTGCGGCCCAGCCCGGCCGGGCCTGCTCCTTAGGCTGTGGCGGCGGGGAAGCTGCTGCCGCCACAGCCTAGAGACAAGATGGATATTGCGGGCCTCAACCTCCGTCAGTGTCGCCCCGCCCCGCGGCCAGGCAGGGGGAGCCCCACACCCCGAGCCATTCCTGTCCCCTACTCACCCGAGCCTGCGTCGCGTCTCCTCTAGTCCCGTCCCAGACACCCCCCGCTGCGGGCGGCCCAGCCGCCTCCGCCTGCAGAACTCACAATGGCGACAACTCCGAGTCGCCAGTCATAGCCCCGCTGACGCCCCACCCCTCCTCCGGCTCTCGCGAGAACGGGCGGGGGAGGCCGTTTCCTCCGCTGTCTCTCTGCTTGGCCCTGTCCCCTCGCCACATCTGGGAGCCCCGAGCCACTCGGGAGAGGAGGAGAGTCCCCAGCGCCGACCCCCCCCCGTCTCCCGTTACCATGGGGGGGGGGGGTGTCTGATCGATCCCCCTCTAGCCCCCGGCGTTATTGCGCCAAGAGATGGAGTCCAAATGCCTCTTCCTCCCACCCCATGGGACGTGTCATGAACGCTCAAAACGAGCAGTCCCAAACTTACTCTGCTGCCTCCTGTCTCCCCCCCCGAAGAAGGTATAATCGTGCTGGGGCCCGGCACCACCTGAGTGCTGCTGTCCCTAGGGTTCAAAAGTCATGAATCGAACTCCACGCTATTATAACAGCCTCAAAAATCACGGAATTAAAAACAACCCCACGCTTTCTCGCCCTGAGTCGTTAGGGGCAAGGCATCGCAAGCCCTTGGAGGGGTGTTATTATTTCAGGTTCAAAATTTAATCTTAAAACCACACAAATGTGGGCCTCCATGGCCTGCACTGTAGGGAAGTTCTCTCACTCTCTGGCCTCTAGGGTTGGAGAGTTGCCACTCTGCCCTTCTTCATCCCCGCTTACCTCAACCTGCCTCCCTCTTCCTCCTCCTAGCCCGTTCCTGTTTCTCTCCCTGTCCCATCTACTCCCCAGCCCCACTTATACTTCATCTTCATGCTCCTCCACGTTTACTTGCTCCCCATATTTTCCCTTTCCTCTTACCAGCTCCTGCCCCCTCATATTGACTCTGCTTCTTTAGCACATTACATCTCCTCGGTCTCTTCCTGTCCAACAGAGCTGGTCAAATATTTTTGAAATTCAAACTGACCAAAACAAATTTCACAACGTTTGTTTAGTTTTTCAACAGCCCCACCGTCTAGATTCCTAAACAGAGAGCCCAGAGGGTGGCAGTGTTCCCTGTAGGCAGCTTGGCTTCAGTCCCCCAGGGAACAAGAGGCGATGGCAGCACTCGTTTCTACAGGCAGCCTCACTTCATTCCGCAAAGCTGCATGGAAACGGCTGTCGTTTTAACTGAAGGCGGAGACTTTCAGTTTGTACTATTGTCCTACTAAAAGGTAATAGGAGATGGCAGCCATTTTGATTAAGAGCAAAAGTTCACAAGATTTGTCAAATCGGCAGACTGAGAAGCTGTGAAGCATAAAATCATGATGGTCCTTGGGATAATATTGAGAGAGCTGGCAGCTTTGCACTTTCCCCCATTCTTAGACTCACCACACCAAAGAAGACCACTCCCTGGTTTTCGACCAGAACGCCTGGTGGAAAGGGGACCCTGGTGGCTCCGGTCAGCAATGTTGACTGGGCTGTTAAAAGTCCGGTCAGCAGCACAGCAGGGTTAAGGCAGGCTCCCTGCGTGCCGTGGCTCCACGCGGCTCCCAGAAGCAGCGGCACATCCCTCCCCTCCGTCCCCCGGCTCCTAGACTTAGGGAGAGCCAGGAAGGCTCCACGCGCTGCCCTGGCTCCAAGCGTCCCTCCGCAGCTCCGATTGGCCAGGAATTGTGGACAGGGCAGCACGCAGAGCCGCCTGGCTGTGCCGCTGCATAGTAGCCAGAGTGGGGACATGCCGCTGCTTCCAGGAGCTCCTTGAGGTAAGCGCCACCCGGAGCCTGCATCCCCTCCCTCACCCCAACCCCCTGCCCCAGCCCTGATACCCCATCTGCCTTCTGAATCCCTCAGCCCCAGCCTGAAGCTCTCTCCTGCACCCCAAACCCCTCATCCCAAGCCTCACCCCAGAACCCACATCCCCAGCCATAGTCCTCAAACACCCCCATATCCCAAGCTCTGCCCCAGCCCAGCCCCCTCCAGCACTCCGAACCCCTCAGCCACAGGAAGAGCCCTCACCCCCTTGCACTCCAACCCCCAGCCCAAGCCCAGTGAAAATGAGCGAGTTAGTGAGGGTGGGAGAGCGAGCAACAGAGGGAGGGGTGATAGAGTTAGTGGGGGCAGGGCCTCAGAGGAGGGCATGGCAAGGGTGTTCAGTTTTTTGTGAGTAGAAAGTTGGCAACCCTACAGGTGAGTCCTGAGAGAGGGGGGGAGACAGCAACCCGCAGGGGTTGGAGAGGGGGCAATCGAACAATGGGGTGGGAGGGTGTCGTGTCCGGTTTTAAGAAATTGGAAAGTTGTCGTCACAACCTCTGCAATAACTCAGCACTGCCTTGACCTTCAGTTGTGCCATTGGCATGAGCCCTAATCTCTGTCACTCTGTTTCACCCCTATTTCAAGCTCCGGCATTGCCTCTGCCCCAGACTTTATCTTTGCCATCACTCTAGCTCAGAACTTTCCCAAACCACTACATTTCCAGTACTCTGGATTCCATCCTCATGCAGATAGAATAAAGGGTGAGCAATGGTAGTGACACACCCAGGTCTATCAAATCACTTTGCTCTGTAACCCATTCACCCTCGTAAGTGCAATCTTCACCTGTATTTGGACTGTGACAGGGTCTGTTTTCTGACTTTCATTCTCAGAGAAACAGAGAGGAGAGGATTAAGGGTGTAGAAATGGAAGAAAAAGATAGTGGTAGAGAGGAGTTGGCACAAAGAAGAAAGAAAGAAAACACTGAATGCAAGAACAGATACAGCGGAAAGGGCTAAACTAGAAAAACTGAATAAAATGGAAGATTTTAGATAAAATATATCAAATGAAACATTCCAATAGGATGAAAAATATATAGGGAAATTCCCTGAGGGAAATGGGCATTGAAAGAAACAAAGAGAGATACATGGAGGCATACAAGGAGATTAGGAAGAGGGAGGAAAAGGGGAATGTAGTGACTTATTTTTAAAAATAATTAGTTACAGATCATAGCATACAAAATTTTGAATCTATTGATTAAATGTAATTTGGAAGTTTTTAGCAGCACCAAAAATCTGAAAAACATTCCAAGTTTGAACAAAGAGATAATTCATTCTTCTCAAGACTCAAAACCCCTTTGAATATGGTAGATCACAATTCTTTTCCTTTTTTGAAAAGTTAACATATATGGTTGGCCTGATACAGAGCTACAGGCTTCTCAGAAACTCAGTCTTACCATCATTATTAAAGTCATGAGACTGCAATTTGAAACATCCCGTATTCATGACCATAGTACCATTGAATGCACCTTCAGCAACACTGTACCACAACCAACAGAGAATTTACCATTACATTAGAGAGATATGTAAAAGTTATTATAGAAAGGATGGTGATAAGTTGTTCTCCATGAGCACTGAAGGTAGGACAAGAAGTAATCAGCTTTATCTGCAGCAAGGAAAATTTACGTTAGATATTGGGGAAAATTTTCCAACTATAGGGACAGTTAAGTACTGCACTAGACTTCCAAGGGAGGTTGTGGAATCCCTGTCATTAGAGGTTTTTAAGAACAGATTAGACAAACACCTGTCAGAGATGGTCTAAGTCAGTGGTCTCCAACCTTTTTAAGCACAAGATCACTTTTTGAATTTAAGTGCAACCCAGGATCTACCTCAAAGAAAATGTAGAAATAACTGTAATCACACAAACCCAATCACTCTTGCCCCACCCCTGCCCCAAGGCCCTCCCCCACTCATTCCCAGCCAATGGGAGCTGCGGGGGTGGTGCCTTCAGGCAAGAGCAGCTTGTGGAGAACCCCCTGCCCCTCCCCCCCCAGGAGCCACTGCCAGACGTGCCGGCCACTTCTGGGAGCAGTAGGGGGCCAGGACAGGCAGGGAGCCTGCCTTAGCCCTGCTGCGCCGCCAGACTGGAAGCAGCCGATCTCCCGGTTTGACTGTGGGAGGGTCAGCAACCCTAGACTGTGACCGAGATCGACTGTCAGAGGCTCCACAATCGACCAGTCGATTGTGATCTACCGGTTGGTGACCACTGGTCTAGGTATACCAGGTCCTGCCTCAGCACCGGCAGATGGACTAGATGACCTCTTGAGCTTCCTCCCAGCCCTACATTTCTATGATTCTATCATTTTCGCTGCCCTGTGCTGATAAGCCTTTTACACCAAACATGTCCCTTTCCTCCCTTCTAGTCTCTTAATCTCAGCATTACTCCACACCTGCCCTCTTGCCCTCTTCTCCCTTGTCCTGTCTCCTTTGCTCCCTTTCCCTTCCATGATCCGTTTACATTCCCTTTTCTTTCCAATTAGCTGACCCCCTCCTAATTAATCCCACACCCACAAAAAAAGGAACTAACATGACCTTTACTGTCATCACATTGTTCACTCTGCTCATGCATTATATCCATTCCCCCACCCTCTGTCTGTTATGTCTATTTAGACTGTAAACTCTTCAGGACAGAGAATATCTACTACTCTCTGTTTGTACAATGCCTGGCACAATGGGGTCCCTGTGACAGGTTGGATCACAGAAACCCAATCTGCCTCTGCTTTCCTGCCCTGGCAGCTTAGGACTTTAGTGCCCTGCCTGGTTTGAACCAGACCCGCTAGCCTGCTGCAAACCCATTCCCAGGGTCTGAACCACGTCCCCTAACAGCTGTAGGCTTAACTGAAAGCAACTTACAGAAGTGTTCTTGTCTTTAACACTCAGATGCCCAACTCCCAATGGGGTCCAAACCCCAAATAAATCCGTTTTACCCTGTATAAAGCTTATACAGGGTAAACTCATAAATTGTTCGCCCTCTATAGAACACACAAGTCTATGTCTAAGAAACTGAATACAAATAAAATCTCACCCAGTAAGCTTCCTTTTACAGACTAGTCTCCTTCTAGTCTGGGTCCAGCAATCACTTACACCGCCTGTAGTTACTGTCCTATGTTCCAGTTCCTTTCAGGTATCCTTGGGGATGGAGAGGTTCTCTCTCTTTAGCCAGCTGAAGACAAAATGGAGGCGTCTCCTGGGGGTTTAAATAGACTTTCTCTTGTGGGTGGAGATGCCCTCCTCACTCCTATGCAAAGTCTAGCTCCAAGATGGAGTTTTGGAGTCACATGGGCAAGTCACATGTCCATG